TAACGAGATTATTCTTATTCTTCAATTCCATGTGTAATAAAGTTCTTGATTTCAAAAAATTAGATGAATTAGAAGATGAGGCTGCCATAATATTGTGTCAATTGGAGATGTATTTTCCTCCATCATTTTTTGACATTATGGTTCACTTACTTGTTCATCTCGTCAGAGAAATCAGATTTCATGGTCTATTTTATTTTAGGTGGGTGTATCCAATAGAGTGATATATGAAGATCTTTAAAGGATATATAAAGAATCATCATTGACTGGAAGCTTCCATTGTTGAAAGATACATCACTGAAGGAACTGTTGAGTTTTGTACAAACTATTTGTCGGAAGCAGATTCTATAGGCATTCCAAAGTCCCGTCACGCTGATCACACAGATAGAAGAGGTATTCAAGGTCTAAATGTTAAGTCAATGGCTTATGATTTAGTTATTCAAGCACATATCTATATATTTAATAATATAAATGAAGTTCAACCTTTCATAGATACTCACAAAAGACTTTTGAGGAAAAAATATCTCCGAATGAGTGACAAGTTGTTGTTGATAGAGCATACCAAGAGATTCATAGATTTGTTTAATAAAAGTGTATCTAATGATTTTAGTGCATCCAAGATACTTAAATGGTTGTCGTACAAGATAAAATTATGTGTCATTACTTAGACTGCATACAACATTGGTCATTATACCTTTTATACAAAATCAAAAGATGATCATAGTACAATTCAAAATAGTGGGGTTATGGTTGAAACCAAATCGATGTATTTCTCTAGTTCGAAGGTTAAGAATCCTGTATTGGAAACTACTACATTTTATGGTATCATTGATGAGATTTGGGAGATTGATTATGTTATTTTTAAAGTGGATTTATTTAAATGCTAGTGGATTCCCAATAATAGTAACAGTGTACACATTGATAACTTAGGATTCACCCGGGTCGATCTTGGCAAGGCATTTTTTATGACCGAACCATTCGTCATGGTTTCTCAAGCAAAACAAGTTTTCTATGTTACCGACCCATCAGACATATCGAGAAAATGGTCAATCGTTCTCCAAGGAAAATACATTTCTCTTATTGATGAAAATCCTGATATTCCATCCACACCTTCTTACACAACACAAGTTCCTACCTCATATGATATAGTTGATGGAGATGTTGTTCATGCTATTCAAATCGATCATGAAGAAGGCATTTGGGAAAATTAACAGGTGCTTAATTTATTCTTTATTCATAATATATTCATGTATGTTATTATTTTAAAGTATTTTTACTAACAAGTATAATTATTTGAAATTATAGGTCTTACGAGTCAAGACACCAAGAGACATGACATAAAAACACCAATTTACAATTATGTGATGTTATGTAATGTTTAAACTGTAGATTGTTTGTTCTGATAAATTGTAGGATGTTTTTATGGTACAATTGAATATGATACAATTATGTGATATATGAATATGATACAATTAATATTATTCCGATAACTTTATCACAAATGTGAGTTTTATTTTCTGTTGTGATATGGTGAACAACAATACATGTTAAAAAAATAGGGTGAATTATAAAAGCGGGATAATATATGTTAATTATACATAATATTTAACAATAGTTACAGTCATAATCGTTATAATATCTCGCACGCTTTTCAGAAAAAGTAAATATTAAAACAGCGCATCTGAAAATGGGTTTATTTCTTGAAGTAGAAGTCAAAAGTGTTTGAAAACTTTAAGAAGTTCAAAGCCCTTGTGGAGAAAGAAAATGGTCTTTCCATTAAGGCCATAAGATCTGATCGATGAGGAGAGTTCACTTTAAATGAGTTCAACAAATATCATGAAGACCATGAAATCTGTCACCAAATGACAGTGCCAAGATCGCCATAGCAAAATGGAGTATCAGAGAGAAAGAACCGGACCATACTTAATATGGTGCGAAGCATTTTCAAGAGCAAGAAGATGTTGAAGGAGTTTTGGGCCGAAGCAGTGGCATATGCACTTTACCTGACAAACTGTTCCCTAACAAGAAGCATGCATGAGAAGACACCACAAGAAGCATGGAGTGGAAGGAAGCCCGATATCTCTCACCTCGATAATAAAAGTGAGAAGTATGTGTTCGTAGGTTACGACTCAAGCTCCAAAGAGTACAAGCTCTATAATCCAAATAGTGGAAAGATCATCATATGATGTGACGTGGAGTTCGAAGAAGAAAAAGATTGTTGGTATTGGAGTGTTCAAGAACACATGTATAATTTTCTTTCTTACTTTGAAGAAGAAGATGAAATGGAACAACCAATGATAGAGGAACATATTACACCACCTGCCTCACCGACACAAAGGTTGGATGAAACAAGTTCAAGTGAGAGGATTAAGAATCATTGAAGAGATTTATGAGGTAACTGAAAACTAAAATGACATTAACCCTTTTTTTTTGTCTTTTCGGTGATTGTGAGCCTCTAAGCTATCAATAAGTTGAGGAAAACATAAAGTGGAAAGATGCCATGGATGAAGAAATCAATTCAATCACAAAGAATGGTACACGTGAACTCACTACTACACTTTTACGAGGATACAAAGCAATCAGAGCAATATTGGTGTACAAGGAGAAAAAGAATGCAAAAGTAGACGTGGAGAGATATAAAGCAAGATTAAAAATGACACAAGAAGAACCTATGGAATTATGTGTTGAAAATAAATCAAAAATTGGTTTGGCAAAGAATCTAATCTTTCATGAAATAAATAAACACATTGACACCCATTACCACTTCATAAGAGAATGCATTGAGAAGAAAGAGGTGAGGTTGAAGTATGTAATGTCTCAAGATCAAACTGCCGATATTTTCACCAAGCCACTCAAGTTGAAAACTTTCGTGAAGCTAAGGAGTATGTTTGGAGTCACAAATCAAGTTTAAGGGGGGGAATGTTGAAATTATAAACTTGATTTTGGCCTAATCATTTTTTGTATTTTTGGGCTTAGTTATGTTGGCACTAGTGTAGAAATGACTTTTTACATCGGGTGAAACTGATTTTTTACATCGGTTCTGGGTCCGATGTAAAGTCAGACAATATAGTAAATCAGGTACTTTTTACATCGGTTCTGGGTCCGATGTAAAAAGTCCCTTTTTTACATCGGTTGTGATCTAAGACTGATGTAAAAAACAATTATAACATTATTTTAAAAAAATTGACGCAACTTTTTACATCGGTTAAACGTGTGGACCGATGTAAAAAGTCTCTTTTTACATCGGTTGTGATCTAAGAATAATGTAAAAAACAATTATAACATTATTTTAAAAAAATTGACGCAACTTTTTACATCGGTTAAACGTGTGGACCGATGTAAAAAGTCCATTTTTTACATCGGTTATAATCTAAACCCGATGTAATATATACTGTTTTGAAAGTTTTTACATCAGTTGAGAGTAATAACCGATGTAAAATGTAAGAAATTTTTTTAAAATAAATTATTTATTTTCTGGATGTTTCCCTGTACAAAAATAATTTGTACCCATTTTTTCATATTAAAATATTAAATACATAAATAATTAAATAAATTGTTTAAGTTTCAAAATTAAAATATTAAATACATAAATAATTAAATAAATTTTACATGAGTCATGAGTAATGCTCATCAATTGATTTAACAAATTCTAACAAATTTTATTTTGTAACAACATGTGAAGGACACATACATCCCGAAAAATATAAATATAGTCTGCCTCTTAAAAGTCTACCAATTGATATAATAATTATTCACAAATAAGTATGCCTCTGCACGGTTTTGTCAATATGGTGGAAACTTCATCTAAATTTGTCACAAAAATTTAAATAAATATAGTCTGCCTCTTTACAGCCTATCTATTGATATAATTATGCTAGATGCAATCTCCATTTTATAGGTACAAAAGCTAATGAATTTCAGAAAAGAAGATTATCAATAATAGCATCATGTGCAATATCTGCAGCAGAATCTCCTTTAGTACCATAAAATTTGGTGTAACGCCTGATAATCAAGTTTCATTAGTTTTGTATGGTCTTTAAACAAGAAACCTTCTTATTCACGTTTTCTACCACTAACTTGTTATAAACCCGTCCTCCAGAGAACATCACTTCAGGACTGTCCCATGCCAATGAAAATGTCACATTGCGTTGAGCATCAGGTGGAATAGTCACAGTTGCTGTAATAGCTGCTCCAATGGATGATCCTGGTTCTGAAGGCACCGACGTTCCAGTAAAACGTAAATGATTCTTAATCTAATTCTGATATATATATATATATATTAGAATTAGAGTTTGATTTAATTTATTTTATAAAATTGACTTATAAAAAAAAATTCTATCAAATATAAAATTTATCCAATCCTATATCTATATCAACATGAGATTTGAATTTTTTTTCAATAGAGTCCAACCAAATAAGATAATTAATTAAATTAACTACAAATCAGAGAAGAACTCACCAGAGAGAAAGTTAATTATGATCATGATGATGCCTCCGTTAAGAGCAATGAGATTAACCAACATCTCTACACAAGTTCCCAACTTAGCAAGTGGTTTAGCAATGAACATCAAGAACTTCTGTAGAACAACAGAGATAAATATAAGCCATCTACCTCTGAAACTTCCCTCAACATCTCCCTCAGCATTACTGTCCACAAATTTTCTATGTCCAATATTACGGGAAAATAAAACATGAATAATATCAAAGAAATGAGCATCTTTTGGATTTAAAATCATATAACTATCTGCAAATCCATTGTCACAAGTTGCAGCCATGGCTATTACTAGCTAATTAACAATTGCCAGTAATAGTACAAGTGTGAAGAGGAAAGGATGATGATAGTGCTTTTAGCCCATGTGCATTTATACTACTTTATTCAGATGTCAAATGACCCATGTTGAAAATAAAATGAGTACCACCATTCAGTTTAGTGAAATACGTTCCCTGAACAACATATTTAGTCTCTACCTTATGCCTTTTTGGATGCACATATTGTGTGATCTTCATTTAATCAGCTCAGCCATCCCTATCTTAAACTGTCCACCGGTGGAGATTAAACCATGAACTGGAAGTAATATTAAAACAAACTTCTGTTTCTTGACAGTATTTAGGTCTCCAACCTATCCACCCTTGGAAAGCCAGTTAACTTAAAGTGCTAAGTTTCTACAAACATAATCTGCTAGTAAATGATGTTTCAGTCACATTGACACTGGGCTAGAGATCACATAAAGTGGATTGCGGCGAATGAGTTCCTTAAGTTACCTCATCTTTTGATTAGCAAATATGATTCCAACATAAGTATCAGCATATGTAAATCCATAGTTGCAGTGACCAATACTATTACTACCAATGAACATGTGGCGTGGTATGTAAAATTAATAAATACAGTCCAAGAGGTAAGATTCTTTAATCTTAAAATATGATGAAAGAGTGGTGTTCAAAGAGAGTCAGGTATTGATCATTGTCATGATAACTGATAAGAAGAAATCAGGCACACAACAAAAGGAAAATGAAATAAAGGAAACTTCAAGTACTTGTGTTATAAAATGCTTGGAGCATAGTGATAGCTTATATGGGGCAACACAACCTGAATAAAGAATGAATAAATTGATGGTAATAACATCGAACATAGACATTTCAAAAAAACAAAGATCAATAAAATCTGAAAGCAGGTCCATAACCTGTTTAACTTCATGCCACATGTCCTTCGCGGAGATGCCTTTGTGAGAACCGGATATAACAAAGACAGGGCATTCTGAGATATGAACATATTCAGTCTCTTCTGCTGCAATTGCAAATGTGAGCAGAGATTGCTCACTTGCAGTCCTGTAGATGCATGTATCAGTTAATTTTTCATCCATTGCCTAAAAGTGTATTAACAAGTTAGAGAGTTACTTGTGATGTAGAAGCACACCATGCACGCCATCAGGCCTCCTAGCACGAGGTAATATGTATCTTGAATGTTAGAATGAAGTAAAGGCAAGGTGTGGGGATGGGGAAAGCAATCAAATGGGAACATCTTCATGTAGATTGTAAACCAACAGACAATTTTCTTACTTTATCTTTGAGTTGAAGTGATGACCAGTAAATTCAGATTACCCTCCAACAGAATTCTGAATGTACACAACAAATTGGTTGCACTCAATACCTCAAGAAACATATTGTAACAGTAAAGAGCTAGCAAAAAAACATTTCACTTATAGCCCATGTGAAAAGCAAGGTGAAATCTTTTGAGGCAGTATTTATTATTTAAATAAACTTTCAATCGGCTTAAAAAAATTAAATCTCTGAGAACCAACTAATATAAGCTTTCTAAACTGATATGGATATGAAGATTAAACAAAGGAATCATTATGCTGGGAAGTGGTATTCGAAGAATACAAAACACATTAATAAAAAAGAGAGAAAACCAAAAGCTTACCCCAGAATTTTGCATTTTCCTTAAGGATTCTCCACTTGTATCAACAAAAATCATCACACCTGATATATGCCCTGGACAAGAATCTTCCATCAGATTATCAGAATTCTTCTATTTAAATCAGCAGCTAAATACTCGATAGTTATTTATAGATACAATACAGACTAATGATTCAAGTATCAATAATTTAAGGAGTTCTTCAAAGCCACTGTCATTAAGGGGAAAAATGTTGGAGAAAATCTACAATCACACACATTTTAACTTCATAAACGTAACCAAAAAAAAAGTTATGAGTAAATTACCACAGCTTGCTTATCTCAAATTTCTAGTTTAATGACTATATTATGTACACGTTGAAGTGGTGGGGTTTATTAGATAAATAGACCATAGAAATAATAATGATTAAAATAATTGTTCTTCAGTAGTAACAACAGTGACACTTCAAACTCTAGTTTAGCAGCATAATCAAATAATTGCTACTTATTAGTTGATACATTCATCATAAACCCAACAACACATTCATCATGTACGAGAAAAGATACCTCGAAGAGAAAAAAGAACAAAATGTCATAAACAAATAACATAAATGAAGAGAGACAAACATGACTTTTGTTACCATAATAACTAGTCCCTCATCATTAACAATTATCAAACCCATGCTCCATCATCAATATAACAAGCCACACAGAACAAATGTAGAAACAAGAAAAACGAAACATGTAAAGACATCTTTAATACACATACGGGTTAAAAGATGTCTTTGTATGATTCATCGGTATATCATATATGTGATAATAATTCTTGATCATCCCAAAACCAGCTGAGAAACTCAGTAGAATACATATGCTCAATTTTATAGACATAATAACTCAAAAAGCTAAGTTTATCTTAAAGTCCAGTTCAGATAATAGCTAAAACTTGCTTCCAGAAATTAAAGGGGTGTCATTGTTCATAACATTCAGTTTCAATGAAAAAAGAAAAAAGCCAAGGACTCGTAATTTGGTTGCTATTGCTAGTAATAGACAAAGCAAGTTTCTAAGTCCTAACCACATGACTTCACATCACAATAACTCAACAATTGCAATAAAATTTAATTGTTTTAAACACAAACTAACAATGGATGTGTTAGTAAAAGGCCTCTTATGACTAGGACTTATGTCAGAAAGAAGCATATAAATCAAGTTAATGCTGCAACAGAAATTATGTTTTACTAGTAGGGAAATTATTTTATTATTGTTAAATGTTGAATTTGCAGTAACTGCTGTCTAACATCTGCAGGAAGTCAAAAACTGCTGAAAAAGTTAATAGTTATAAATATAGGCTGAAAGGAAAAGGGAGGGGATTGGGTATTTTGTATGTTGGCTGGGTTGGGCGACAATAGGCTCTCTAATTCCTAAGGGTTGTTTGTGACAGTTAGAGTATTGTCTTGTATTGTATGTAACTCTTAAAGAGTAGCATTTCCCGGTGTTTATTCATATCAAAACCAGTTTCTAACACCGGCATTTTTCATATCAAAACCAGTCTTAACAGGATAGACGCGGGGAGCGGCCAACCTCAAATACACTAAAGTAGAATAGTAGATATAGGGATAATCTCGTTTCTAACTGATTTGGAAACAAAGCTTCAAACTATATTTCCAATTTCGGAGTTGCATCAGAAATACACCAGAATATCAGATGCTAATGCAATGTTTTTCTATAATTTTTTGTTTTGTTTATTCCTCTAAGTAAATTAACAAAGCATACAGGATAGCTACTCTCCTTGTAGTTATGGGGTATAACAGGTGAAATCTGGCGACAAACTATTTTCAATGCTGGATCAGGTTTTGCATGTGAACAATAGAGATGATCAAGGTAAGAGATGCAATGCAGTATAATTTATAAATACAGTAATGGAGTTGGAAGTGTGTGAATTAGCGTAGCTCACCCTCATATACTGTCCAAGCTCTTGGGTATAATGCGGGAAACGTCTCCGTCTTCGTGCAGCCGGCGGCGGATCTGCGAGGAGACGGCGGATCTGTGAGGAGCGGCGTAGGCGAGACGGGCGGAACGGTGTAGGCGAGACGGGTGGAGTAGCGGCAAGGGTGCGTTCGTGGGACAGAGAAGTTGAACAGTAACGAAATAATTCGCATTTAGGGGTTATTTCAACATTATATATATTACTTTTTACATCGGTGCAAGCATTGGTGGATTGTAGGAACCGATGTAATATCTAGCCAGTTTTTTATTTACAATTCTGTCACCTGGTTTGTTATTTACAAAACTGCCACCGTGTTTTTTTCACGAAACCTTTTACATCGGTGGATTAAATGACCCGATGTAATAGATAGCGAAAAATATTTTTTTTCATATTATTTATATCATTGTAAATAAATACTTGATGTAAAATGTTTTTAATTTTATTTTTTACATCGTATATTTTTATACCTGATGTAAAAACTTTTTCTCAAATGTCATTTTTTTAGTAGTGTGGGCTTAAGTAATTTTGGGTATTGTTTCTAGAGAATTCTTGTAGTGTTTATAGTGTATAGATATTTCTTATGATTGTAATATTTTCTAAAATACTCTTTGGATCTCTAGAGTTGATAACTCTCTATAATTAGTGTGTCTAGAGTTATCCTTAGAGTACTATAAATAGAGATGTAATCTCATACTATTGTATCAAACAAAAATATAAAGTTCTCTCCTCCATAAAAAATTCTCCAACTTATAAAATTTCTATTCAAGCCTCTGATATTCTCACACACTTTTCCTAAATATAAAAGACCTTATTTCCAACAATCATGCCGTCTAGAGATAAAAAATATTCAAAAATAATAGAACCTAAGATCATTAGGGATAACTATCTGTCACCCCAACCAATTAAAGATCTGTGTTACATTATATGCAATTACTTAAACCTAAATACAAGTTTTGCTAACATTTTCAATTATTTTTAAATTAAAGTTCTATTAGAGGATCCAACTATTCAGATGCTTGAAAAGTGAAAACACTCCATCAAAATTAAGAGTTCCTCTAAGATAAAAATCAGTGGTAGAGACTTTACTCGAGTCATCTTCTTCTCCGTTTTTTACTGACATGTTGAATTTCTCATTGTTCTCTCTCATTGTCAAACACCAATTGAGTTCTACCTCTAGATGTATTGGCTCCAGCAGTTTGACTTTCATAGTATTTAGATTGTAAATTAATAAAATACATAAAATTTTGTAAAGCGAGCTCAAACATTCCCTTACTGATATTCGTCTCCTTAAGCTTTGAACGAAGCTTTACACCTTTCTCAAGAACTTGAGACGATAAGGTGTCCCTAGGAAAGTTGAGAGTCTCCCAGAGATTATTGAATTTTCCAGCCGGAAGCACAAAATTTCCAGTATCTTTGAACACACGATGAGAAACTCCACCACTAAGTACCTTAGTAGTATTCCATAACTTGACACCATTTAGATAAGTAAGCACCAACACATCATTGGTATAAAGTTCAACTTTTGACCCTTTTGGAGCATGACTGTCCTCGTTAGCATACCATACAACAATTTGCTCATAAATTTTTGCATACCAAATGGAAAGCAAAAACAAATTAGTGTTTTTTAGTGCGAGAAAACCAAAGGCAAAGTCACCAGAAGGTGAAAGCAACCATGGAGGTGTGTTGGTTTTTGCAGTTTGAGAGCCACCAATGGTTATAGTGTTATATAGTTCAACCACACACAAGTTACTGTCATTTTGTGCATTGCCAAATTGTAGTTTAAAAACAGTTTAGAAGTTGAGTTTTTAAACATTTTAATTTCTTAATTTTTTGAAAAAAATTAATTAATAACGCTGATTATAATATAGTGTCATATCATTAATTAATATGATGTGAAAATAAAACGAGACAATTTGAATCGGCCACATCATTAATACATGTGTTACATCTTCAATTTTTTTCTTCAAATTGGTCCGACAATTAAAATTAGGGGTGGTAAAACGGATTGGGGGTCTGTCGAGTTGGCCCGTTTGACCCGCTATTTTTGGTGGACTGAGATAAGGTTTTCGACTCGTTATCTTAAGTTGGTCCGCCTTGTCTAATCTGCCTAAAAAAGTAGGTCGGGGCGGGACGGAACGAATTTTCCCCGTGGATTTTTTGTTAAAACTTTTACTCTTTTTATTAAGAATTAAAATAATTTTAACTATAAAAACAACACTTAACTCTTAGGATTGTATTATAAATCATTATACAAACAAATTGAATTATAATTGTAACTTTCTTTCTATAATTTTCTAATACATGTGTTGATTGAAAATGATTGAAATAAAAGAACAAATATATTACATGCATAATTATTAAGTTTTCAATATATTAGCTTAGATATTTTTTTTTAAATAGATGTTGATTTTAAGAAAATGAAGAATTTGATTAGTGTATACATGTGACAAATTTAGGATTTAACAATTAAAGAATCAGTTAATATAAGAGTATATATAATGTAAACAGTGAGAAAGTTCGGTGTTGATATTTTATGCATTACTATATTATGTAATGTGATGTTTTATGAAATATTATTATTATCATTGTTGGTTTTGTGTAAATTCTAAATTGGATTCTTTTAGTAGTTAGTTTTTAAATAGGATTAGGATGATATGTATTATTTACTTATTTTGATATTTTTTTATTGTGCTTGAGTTTATTTTGTTTTTTATTGTAATTGGTTTTTATTTATAAATTTTTTAAAATTGTTTGGACTTAAGACATCTTGAAGTTCTATTATGTGTTGTTAAAAACATTTCTTTATCGACCTCTTTAGTAATAATTAAAAAAATTCTAAATTATGTATTCAAATTGTAAAATTAAAAAAATAAAAAATTAGTGGACCGACCCGCCAACTCGTTGTAAACGAAACGAATTTAACTTTTGAATTCGGACCCCTACGTTGACCCGTCCTGCCCTACCCCACTTTTGAACGAGCTTAAATGGGACGGGTCTAAATAAGACGTACCGCCTGCTTTATTACCCCTAATTAAAATTCAATACAAAACATAAAAAAAAAAAAAAAAAGATTAGTGTTTAAAACGAGGACCAAAATAATAAAAAAAGAAACAGTAGGAAGTTCAAAATTACATTTTAAGTTTATAAAAATTAGAGCCTAACCAGAAAGTAGAGTTACCGAGATATTTCATAAATTAGTCTAACTTCATACCATTTAATTAGTAATATCATTACCAGATACATATTTCATAAATCAGTCTAACTTCAAACAATCTTAGTAACAACATTACCAAATGAATAAAATATTATATTAACTGTTCGCAGCAAGCAATGGAAATTTAAAAATCTCAAAAGAAACTTAAGGGCAAAAGCACAACTGGTAATGTTACAAAATGTAGCTTCAAAAAGGCTATTTCATGCCTATAATCCCGCTATGCACTATGAATATCGTTGATCAGCTTGAAGAAATACTTTGGATCTGAGACAAAGTATTAAAGTAAAGGAAATAATCACACTTGCATTATACAACTTAAATGAGTTAATAATGAAAGAAGAACTTACCTTCAAGGTATAATGCAAGTGTGATTATTTCCTTTAAGTTAATAACTACTCTTCTTTCCTTTAAGAATTATGTTGAAAGCTTTCAACATAATTCTTAATCGAGAACCAAGATATTTTATTAGTAATTCTAGTTCTCTGAGCAGTATTATCTATTGTATTATAGAGAATTGCTTGACCTTCTAAGCTGTGGACCAATACCAGTGTTTCACCATTTTCCGAAAGATACAATGGCACCAATGGCATCAAATAAAATCTGCGGCCCATAAAAGAACTATGGATATTAAGACTTTCATAGCTAATTTTAAAAAACTGAGTCCAAGATTCTTCTACTCCGAATTCTATCATTCGCCATATTACAAAATGAGTCTTTTTAAAATGATAAGAAAAACAAATGTGATTCATCAATACACCAATAATGGGGTCAACATAAGGTTTCTCATCGAAACTAGGAGGCAGCTGTATATCTTTGTATGTTTTGGTTCCTAGATCAAGCGAAATAATCACTTCAACATAAGTACCCTTTAAATCAAAAACAGCCAACCAATTAAGAGTGCCATTCAAGTACACACCTTCGTTCACTTGGTGGTTAAATCTGAGCATCTGAAAAGGAACTGCAGGGAAATTTTGAATTTCTCTCCAAACATTCTCGCGCAAACTGAAAATATTAGCCTCAACTATCATTAGCTTGTCACTTTGAAATTTTAACATCACTACCTTATAACTGTTGGTTAAATTATCATAACCGAATGAGAATTTGAAAGAGGTAGGGTCATTAAACTTATCACTAAAAAGAGCGAAATTAAACCCTAATTGTTTAGACATTGCTCTTGTGGATGGGTTCCAGAAACTTAACCAAAAGGATGAACTAATATCGGAATAACTGAGGATACAGATCAATCCATTACATGAACCAATAACCCGGTGGACAAGTTTCAAAGAGTAGAAATAATTATCGATAACGTAGCATGGGTCATCAGTGAGGGTGATCGGAGGGTTCTCCAGCAAATTACTTATTGGGAAAGGTACGAGTTTGAGAGTGTCGGGAGGACTTGTAGTGACAAGTGCGAGGTGAGGTTGTTGTGGAGATCGGTTAAAGTGCAATTTCACAAAGATGGGATTAGTATAGAGGGAGTTACAGAACTTACTGACGCATCTCATTCGCATAACAGATTTCACAGTAAGTAATGAGAGTACTTCGATGATAAGGTCATTGGGGATAATTACCGGCGATAGAGAGGCATTAGGTGGACGACGCCGTGACTGAGATGGTTGGAGATTCATTCTGTTGAGCAATGACTATTATATTAGAGAAGATGAGATATCTATAGTTATACTATCAAATAAAACATATTTCGTGATTACTTGAATATTACTCAAAGTCACTTTCAAGAATAAATTTTGACTAAACATATACATGAAATTTATTGAATGTATTTGGTCTATTATATCTATTAATTACATAATTTTTTAATGAATACTATAAAAAAAAAAACAAAATTTTGACCGTGGATGCATTTTCTTTTTAAAATATATATATTGGATTTGATTTTAAATAAAAGATTGATTAAAAAAAGTTTATTCAAAAATTTGACTAAATATATCCATTTTTAACAAATCTTTTGTTTATAAATTTATGGTCATTATTGTTTTTCTTCCTTGCTTTAATATGTATCCTTACACAATAAGTATTCTATTTTTAAAAGAGTTGTAATTATTTTGATACCATGTATTTGTATGCCTGTTTTGTTTTGAACATTATTCAATGTACATATTTAATTTTTTTATTTTGACTAAACTTTCATAAAAAAATCTTATTAATTTAAATTTTAGATTTATATAATTTTTCCTTAATTATAATTTTGATCCTCTTATTTTCTATTTTTTTTTTTAATTTTGGTCTGTATATTTTAAAATTTGAGATTTTGATCTCTTTTTTTATGTTTTTCTTATTTTAATCCTTCATTTAAGTGTCAATTTGTATGACATGAGTGTGCCGTGAATTAAGTGGCAAAAAACAATTTTTAAATAATTTATAATTATTTTTTATTTAAATAATATATACAAATATTACATTAAAAAAATTAAAATTAATTAAATTAATTAAATTAATAATATAAGTTATAATATTATTTAAAAATAAAATAAAATTTTAAAAAATTCATAATCTAAGTTATTATAAATTTGTAATGATTTATTTTATTTTTTTAGAAATTTTTTATATTTATATTATTTTTTTAAGAAGATTTATAGGATTAAGTAATTGTAATTTATAAAAATAAAATTATGTAGAAGGGAGGACGAACTCCTGACATTACATTATATTGTATAAGGACACATTTCCACCATTTGAGCCAACTTGTATTCCTGTCCATATCAGTCAACAAAATATATAAGTGCTATCTGTTTTTGAATTTAGAATTGAACTTTTCTTACCTTAAAAGAGTTTTTACCTTTAGGAGGAAAACTTCTAAATCTTATGCATAAGGGAAAAAGCTTGTTGACATGGACAATTGATCCAAATGGAGCTACCGCCACTACGAAGGAATATATTGTTGACCAAATGACTCTAAATCTAAGGGAGATGGATTGCAATATTTAAAATATTTGAAAATTGATTTATAAAAAAAATTTAATTGAAAATGATTTGACATTACTTAAAAAAAATATATTTCACTTCGGACACAAAATGCATCTAACTTTAACTATAGAAGTGAGGTAATGAAGGGCGTCATAAAAAATTTCCACTTTACTTCTCGATTTTTATAATAATGAGGGAAAAAGTTATTTGTACATTGGTTCGAACCCCAATATTTACACTTTTATTATTTTCAAAACTAGCGCATCATATCTCTCGGTTTATCAATAAAACTGAGGGATAATATATGTTATTTTTTTTTAATAAAAAAACTCGTTACAAACTACATAATATTAATAAATTAATTATTTACTTAGAATATTACATTTTTACACATAATATTTCTATAAAAATATGTAACAAATTTCGAATCTGATTCATCGTAATCATTGATGGTGAATATCAAATATTAGATCCTCGTTTCATTGAAATCTTGGGCCAAAAGAGGATTTTAGACCTGATTGGTTTTTTAAGGCATAATTAGAAAAGTGGGGTCAAAATTACATACTTCATTTTGAGAAGACCCTTGGTTAGGAAGCATCATTTTAAATTTTAAGTTTTCTAGTTTGTTCTCCATCTATCTTCATCCAGAAGGGATGATGGTTGATATTGGAGAAATTGTCAATGGGAACTTGACTTGAGACTTTAGATGGAGGAGACCATGCTTCCTTAGAGAGAGGCTTGTTTTTGACGAGTCTCATGTATTTCTTAGAGATGTTACCCTTACCCTATATATAGACAAGTGGATTTGGAAGTGGGTTCTTCTTACATCATTCAGAGGGGAAAGTTCATTCATCTATGGTCCCGCTTCCGATTCTGACTCAAATTCTTCCCCTTAATTAAAATAGTTGAGCTCCTTCTTAGATCTTGGTCTTATCCTAGGAACTACTGTGAGATACATTCCCATCCAAGGACAACCTATTTAGAAGAAGGGTGTTATCTAACCCTAGTATGATTTCATGTCCTTTCTGTAAGTTTTCGGTTGAAAATGATTCTCATATCTTATTACATGTGAGTTAGCCACATCTGTGTGGTATGAAGATTTTAGGTGGCTGGGATGACAACACTACAACAAAATACACATTTCATCTTGGACGTGAAATGCATTTAACCTTGGTTACATGAGCGCGGTAAAGAAGGGCATCATAAAATGCTGCCACTTTACCCCTCGGTTATTGTCGCTACTGCAAAAAATACCGACGCAAACAGAGTCGCCATCAAACGTTATTTATCCTAAAGAAGGGAAAGGAAAGCATAGAGAAAACCTAAGAAAGGGAAAGAACATAGTCTTGTGACCAAGAGAAGCATACGGAAGTCGATTATGCAAGAGGAAGGTATTAGCACCCCTTACGTTTGTTGTACTCAACGAGATTCACTCTTGTTGATCTAATCAAAGGGTGTGTATATCTAAAGCTTACTTGCTAAGGGAATACATGAGATAATTAATAATGAATTTTTTTATTATTATTATTGTACTCGCTTAGGTTTTGCAACCCAATGCCTACGTATCCCAGAGGAATCAGAGCATTTTAGTTCTTCTAAAAATGTTGTTTATTGTATATTTTTTAGTGAACAATGTTAAGTTCGCATTCTACTGCCACTCGACCTTTGGACACTCACGCATGATTGTGTTGTGTAGAAAGGAATCAGCATGTTCTTTTCTGAAAAGGTTTTCAAAATAAAAGCCCTAAGGAAAAAGAGTTTTGATTGGTTGAGTGTTTTGTTGGGATAATAGTAAATAAATCCCAATGCAGGGGCACTCACTATTTCTCCACTTATCTCAGAAAATGTTTGTGAGTTGAATCGTAATAAAGCCCAGAAATGGAAGAAATGCAAGGTTAGGAATGTACCGCCTCATGTTTTCCATAAGACTCATCTGCATACAATTTTCCTCTTTATTTGTTAAGTGTTTTGAATTTTTTTATTAAGAAATTTTTGTTTGTTTTAGATGGATGCAAAAGAAAAACAAAAGATAAAGGGGAACTCAAGCCCTTGTTGTTGTCGAGCAATGTGTACATAAAGTTGAGGTGAAAGGGAAATCTACCTGATTGTTATCATGCTTAGATTAAAAGCCTAAGGTCTAATTTAATTCAATTTAACCAAAGATTAAAATTGAATTAAAAAGTCCTAAGGGAGAATGAAATGATCAACCAAACAAATAACAAAATAAAAGAATACTATATAATATTTTGTCATTTTTGTCGTGTTGTTATACCCCAATTTTTGTCTCTAAGATCTATATATTATCTTATACCATCACAATGCATCAATATCACACACTAGGGTTGATTCTCTCTTTCTACTTTATCCTATCTTTAAGTTTGCTCTTGAGGGATTACCAAGCACATTGATTTATGTACCTTGTACATGTATTTTTAGATGGATTAACTTTTAACTAACATCAAAATATGTATATATGTCTCTTTGAATGTTCATATTATAGGTGATGACACAATTGCATTCATCTCACCATCTAACCTAGGGTTTGAGGGTTGACCCTCAGTCAAGTGGTTCTTCAATGGATTGCAAGAGATTAAGTTTCAAGGTCATGTCTATGATATCAAAGATTTATGGTTCAAAGAGTTCTCTCACTTTATTTAATTCAAAAATTTTAAGGTGGCATTCATCAAGAAGATTCATAGGTTCATGTGTTTATTTCCATGCCTTCTTCGACAAGTTTCATTGAGACTTTTGTTCCATACTTGAGTGTGCTTCAAGACAACATCACTTTTAGGTCTATTGTGATTCATCATGCTTTATTTTTCCAAGAGATATCAAAAAGATTCAAAGTTGATTCAACAAGTTTGACCTAATTGAGCAAGTGCTTGATTCAGTGATCATAAATGCATAACTCTCTCAATTGTCAGTGTTTTTAGTTGGTTCTTTTTGATATGGGTTCTTATCATCATCTACAAAAACTTCTCTTCACATGACAAGATCAAATTGTGCAAGAAAAATCATAAAAATTGAAAGGGGTTTCAAGTCATTTTGACACTCTCTAAGCTAGGGTTTGTTGACTTCCAAGGGCCATATCTTGCTCATTTTTCGAGATATTTGATTGATTCTAAAGCCATGATTATATTAAAAGGGTCCTTAACAAGTTCTCTTCAGGGATCTAAGGCTAATTTTGAATGGAAGATCACTAATGGATGAGAAAGATTACAAGTCCCTTTGAAAAGCCTTTGAATCTTAGGGTTTGACTTCAAATGATCATAACTTGGTCAATTTTTATCTCATTGAGACCATTATTTTTCCATGATAATCTTTGAGATGTCTACTACAACATTGTTTCAATGTGCAATACTTGAAAATGCTTGGAAAGTTGTTGAAGAATTGAAAAGATTATAGGTCTTTTGTGAATTTTCCCAAATTTGTTCATCATCTTACAAAGACCATAACTCTTTCAATTTTTATGATTTTTGAGTTATCTCAATTCCATAATTCAACTCAAGAGGTCTAATTCATGGCCTCTTCAAACATCAAGAACAAAATTTGAGTGGAAGATCATGTAATTTTAAAGTACATTATAGGTCATTTTGAAGTTCAACACTTAGAAATATTTCTAAGTACAAAAATCAGTTTCTTTTTCACAATTTCAATTAATCATAACTTTCAGCTCGTTTATCCAAATGGAGTCTTTCTTGTC